TCGACTGCAAGCAACGTGGAGGTTCGTCTTCTTGTGCTTGAGAATTTTAAAAGCTTTTTTTTTTCTTTTTTTTTTTTTTTGGGGGGGGGTGTTTTATTGTGAAATAGAAATGGTTATTAGTATTATTATTTTCGCCTTTATTTAATTCTCGACTGCAAGCAACGTGGAATTTTGAAAGTTTTTCTTTTCTTTTCTTTTCTTTTCTTTTCTTTTTGGGAGGGGTGTTTTATTTTGAAATAGAAGTGGTTATTATTATTATTATTTTCGCCATTATATAATTCTCGACTGCAAGCAACGTGGAGGTTCGTCTTCTTGTGCTTGAGAATTTTGAAAGCTTTTTTTCTTCCTTTTTTTTTTTGGGGGGGGGGTGCTTTATGTTCATTGTGGAAAAAAATTGTTATTATTATCATTACGTTTTTTTACATGCCGTTGTGGGAGTTCATCTTTATAATGGGAAAATGGTCATTATCATTATCATCTCTACTGCTATTATTGATATAGTTATTATTATTATTATTATTATCATTATTATTATCATTATTATTGTTGTTGTTGCTGTTGTTGTTATTATTGGTTTTGTTGTTATCATTATTATTGTTATTTTTGTCGTTAATTAGTATTACTAATTGTAGTAGGAGTGGTGTATATCAGCACATACATTGATTATATAAATACAGAAAGAAATATCTGGCTTATTCCCCGAACTAATAATTTCTCCTTCATTCTCTTCTTCCCCTCACCCCCCTCACCCCCTCCATATCCCCCCACCCCTCTCCCCTCTTCCTCACCCTTCATCCTAATCCTTCCTGCCCATCCCCTCACCCCCCCTAATCCTTCTCTCACCCCCCCTTCCTTCACCCCGCCCCCTTCACCCCCAAATCCTTCACCCCCTTCATCCTTAACTCCCCTCACCCTCACCCCCCTCCCCCTCCTTACCCCGTCCCCCTCCTAACCCTCACCCCCTTCCCCCACCCCCCTCCTTACCCCCACCCCCTCCTCACCCTGCCTTCCCCCACCCCCTCCTTACACCTCACTCCCTTCCCCCCCACCCCCCTCCCCCCTTCACCCCCCTAACCTCCTCCCTTCCCTTCCCCCAAAACCAAAACAAAAAAATTCACCCCCTCCCCCCCAAAAAAAAAAAAAAAAAATCCCAAACAGCTGCGCATCACGACCACCTCCGTGACCATCTCCCTGTCGGCGACGGTGGCCCTCGTGTGCCTGTTCACGCCCAAGCTCTACATCATCCTGCTGCACCCGGAGAGGAACGTCCGCCAGAGCATGATGCCGACCGCCAAGTACTCCGCCATCAAGACCACGCTCTCGTCCTCGTCGCAGAGGGTCGACTCGGGGACGCAGAGCGAAGGTGAGGGGAGGGAGAGGGAGGGAGAGGGAAGGGAGGGAGGAAGGGGGAGGGAGTGGGGAGGAGGGAGAGGGAGGGTGAGGGAGTGGGGAGGAGGGAGAGGGAGGGTGAGGGAGGGAGAAGGAGGGTGAGGGAGGGAGAGGGAGAGGGAGGGTGAGGGAGAGGTAGGTGAGGGAGTTGAGGGAGGGTGAGGTTGGTGAGGGAGGGGGGAAGGTAGAAGGAGGGGGAGGAGTGGAAGGGGGAGGAGGGAGGGTGGGTGAGGGAGAGGGAAGGATGGAGGGTGGGGAGGAGGGGGAGGGGAAGGGAGGGTGGGGGGGAGGGAGGAGAGAGGAGGAAGTATGAAGGGGAAAGGGGTGAGGGAAGAGGAGGAGTGAGGGTGGGAATCTAGGGGTGGGAGGAGGAGGGAGAGCGGGCGAGAGATGACGGAGGATGGGGGTGAGGAATGAGGGGAGAGGGAGAGGGGTGAGTGAGGGGAGAGGGGAGAAGGAGGGAGAGGGGTAAGGGAGAATGGAGGGAGAGGGGAGGGGAGAGGAGGGGAGGAGAAAGTACAAGGGGAAAGGAGTGGGGGTTGATGAGTGAGGAGATAGGAGTGGGGAGGAAGGGGGTACTCTATGAGGAGGGTTTGGAGGGAGAGAAAGGGGAGGAGGGAAGGGGAGTAGACATGAGGGGAAGGCCGCAGATGCTTGAGGGCTGCTCAGGACTCGAAGACGCGAAGGAAGGAAGCAGAGGAAGAGGGTTTAAGCTACGCGGGGGGGAAGGGGTGGGAGGGAGTGGGGGGGGGTGGAGTAGATATGAGAGGGGAGGGGAGGGGGGGAGAGGGATTATGGAGAAGGAAGGGAGAGGAGAAAGGTGGGGGGGGAGAGGAGGGTGGATAGGAAAGGTGTGAGGGGGGATGGGGGAGAGGGAGGGGGGGGAAGGGAGAAGATACGAGGGCCTCCTGCGCCCCCCCCCCCCCCCCCGCGTGGAAGCCTCGCTGAACCCTCGGCCGCCGGATGCTCTGGCCTTTTCATTCAGTGATTTCCTAATACTCTTTTTTGTAATTTTATTGTATTTGTGTGTGTTATTGATCGATTTATTTATTTAGCTATTTGTTTCTCTATTTGTCATATGTTCTTGTTTTTATTTCGATTTCCATCTGTTTCCTTTTTTTATCTCCGTATTCATTTATTTGTTTGTTTTTCTTTTGTCTCTTTTTTTTTCTCCCTCGCCAGTACCCTCTTCATATGCAAATGAAGTAAATTGATACTCCCTTTTTTCGTTATATTTTTCCTAGTCATTCTTTCACTAAATCATTTTTCTTTAATTCCCCCTTCGTTTTTTTCTTTTCTTTCGTTTTTCTTGTTGTTGTTTTTTTCTTATCCTTTCCTCTTTTGCATCTATTTTGGATTTTCTCTCTCTCCCTTCCTTGTCCAGGATTCTCTCTATTTCCTGTCCATTAAATGTCTTTCCTCTCTGTATCCCCCTTTCTATCTACCTATCTTTCTCTATTTATCTGTCTATCTATCTATCATTCTCTCTATCTATCTATCTATCTATCTATCTGCCTATTTTTCTCTTTCTATTCTTGTTTTTTTTTAATTCATAGTTATGATTTCTTAATTGTCTGTCTGTTTTTCTTTTTCTTTTTCTTTTTTTACGTCTATTTTACTCACATTCATATATTCACGTAAACATTACATCTATCGTCCCACCTTCTTGATGTTTATATGGCTATCTATCTGTCTGTTTGTTTGTCTGTCTATCAAATATCTATCCAGGTAAGTTTATAGATAAATCGATAGATAGATAAATGGGTAGGTAAGTAAGCAGACTGGTGTGTAGATAGATAGGTAGGTAGGTAGACTATTAGACAGATAGATAGATAGCTGGATAGATAGATAGAGAGATAGATGGATAGATAGATAGAGAGACAGATGGATAGATAGACAGAGAGATAGGTAGACAATTAGACAGACAGATAGATAGGTAGACAACTAGACAGACAGATAGATGAATGGATAGATAGAGAGATAGATAAATAGATAGACAGATAGATCATCCTACTTCGTATAACCCTAGAAAATAATATGTGACTGAAATACAACCCAATCAAGCCATTGAATTGAGATTTAATTCGATTTTTTTTTTCTTCTTTTCTCCCCACCTTCCTATCTATTCCTTCGCCTCCCTTCTTCGTCGTCGTTTTCCTCTCTTCTCCCTCACTCGCCCCCCCCCACAACCTTCTCTCAACCCCCTATTTCCCCGCCAACCCCACCACTCTTCCCCCTACACTCTCTTCTCCCCCTCACCTCTCCCCCCACCCTTCTCTCGACTCCTCCACACCCCCCTCAATCCCTACCACACCCTCTTCCCTCTCCCCCCCCCCCCCAAACATCCTCCTCTCGATCCCCCATTCCCCCTCCACCCCCCCCCCCCACCATCCTCTTCTCGACCCCCCACCCCCTTGCAGTGATCTTCCCCGTGGACTACGAACTGCACGAGAAGCTCCGCACGATGGGCTGTGGCACTGGTCCCAAGTCCAACAGTGCCACCCAGACCTGCCCCTCCGCCTCCTGCACGCTGCCCGACCACCGCTGCGGCGCCACGACCACCCTCACGGCCTCCCTGCACCCCAGCGCCACCAACGGACCCATGCAGGATGTGCCCGACGTGCAGCTGTAGGATGCTGGCTGGAAAGGAGGATTGGGAAGGATTGGAAGGAGGGATGAGGAAGGATTGGAAGGAGGGATAAGGAAGACGGAGGAAGCGGCGTCGATTGGAAGGAGGGAAGAAGCGAAGGCCTGGTCTTTCTCTCGTTAAAGGAAGGATGGTGTTTGTAACGAAAGGATTCTGTCTGTGGTGAAGGATGCGTAGGGTGAAAAGATGGGACAATGGAAGAGAGAGATAAATACGAGAGAGAGAGAGAAAAAGAAAATGAGGCGTTCAGGAAAATTCGAAAGAAAGACAAATGATGAAAGATTTTCGGATTACGAGGCAGGACCTCTGGAGAGAGAGAAAAAAGTGAAAATGAAATAATTGAAAAAAATATTTTTCTTTGGCCAAAACACAGGAACCTCTTTATACATCAAAGACACAGACGAAAATTGTGAATTGATTTAGACATCATTTACAATATTGCCAAGACAAACTGGAGCTTGCAAAAAAATGAGAAATATTTAGACTAAATAATGCTTTTGATTTGGGAAGTGACTGTGAAATGAAAAAGAAAAAAAAAAGATTTTGTAAAGCAAATAGACTTCTAACGATGTGTACAATACATATAAAGCGAAATCACATTTGACAATAAAACACCCGACATCGCACAGTGCTGGAAAGATGAAAAAAAAAAAACTTCAGTAAAATTTCACAATTCAGAAAACATAAGCTTTATATAGATTAGTTTTCAAACAACTTATTCTTTCTATTTTCTATATCTAGAACCCCTTCCATGAACAGCACAGCTACAGATGTTAGAATAAAACAGAGATTATTCCACCTCTGTTCCGAATTTTTGTAATCTAAAGGAACAGAGTTTAAAAACGATAGTCTTTTTCCTTGTAATCCGTCATTACGTTGAATATAAATTTGGTTGAATGTAAAATATTAAGAGACTTATTGCAATTATTATGATTTTTGCTTTTGAATTATTATGATTTTTGCT